CGCCCTCTCGCGAACCGAAAACGGCCAATTCCTTAATTCCTTAATCGACGTGTCAGGGTAGGAGGTCTATCAACCTCCGACCAGCCAGCAAGAGGAAAGGAGTGAGGAGCCCCTCATCGTCTCGACTGGACGCGCCTCGGAAATCTAGTCCGTCTCGACCCTGGGAGGTGTCTGGGGAAAGATTCGGGGCGGATCTGCCATCGCTCCCCCCCCCTTGACAGGCCTTCTTGGGACCCACCCAGTGCAGACCCCCCAGGCGGTTCCAATCCTCAAGCTCGTTCAGGAACAGGACCTGCTTGGCCGTGATCGACAAGGGCCAGAACCGAAGCATCGCCGTGATGATGTCGTAGGCCAGGCGAGGGTCTTTCTCCACGTACTGCGCCATGCAGTAAGTGAGCTGCTGGTTGAAAGATCCCAGGGACTTGACCTTGTGGAGGGGAATCAGGGCCTTCATCAGGAAGTCTTTGTGCTCGTCTTTCAGGGGCAGGGCAAAGCCATTGATGATGCTGCCCAGGATCTCCAGCAACCTTAGGAGCACCCCTCCAAGCTGATCCAGGGCTCGATTCGGATACTGATCCCGCCGGCCCGATCCGTCACCAATCCGACAAACACATCAACTCAAACGGTTCCAGGCCCCTCCGTGAGTCCATGATGGCCAGTTTTTCGAGCTGCGCTCAGCTGTGGCGACGAGAACTTTCAAGAAAACCCAGATCCAACAACGACGACGCCGACGTCGACGACGACGCCGACGACGACAGAGTCGCCCAGCAAAAACACAAAACGATTACGGCCGACGCGTTCCAATAAGGAACGCAGTGTCAAGAACGCAAGGGCTCTGCTGGCCACGCCGGGCCTGGGCCATCAACAGGTTCCGCGACAGAGATCTGAGGAACGGTCCGAAGAACAGAGCCCCACCCGAGCCCAGAGCGGTCTTTGCTTCGGCGTCTAAGTCGGGCGCGTCCCCCTCCAATGGGATTTTGAGCGAAAAATCAATAATACGCGAAAAAGTACCCCCCAAATGAGCAAAAATAGCAAAACAAATCGTCCCCATACTATTTTTTGACTATTTTTGAATATTCCCCCTGTAGAGGGACAGGCCCGACTTAATCCAGCGTGTTGGTTGCACGACGTCGGCACCGTCGCGACGTCGTCGTCATCACGATGGCGTCGCCGCCGCCGCCGGGAGCTCCAACCCGCCGGTGGAGGGCCCGCAGCGGCCTCCCCCGACAGGTCCCAGGCCGATCCCCGCGGGGTCGGCCGGCCCCACCCGTGCCCTCTGCATCGACGGATCCCCCGGGCGGCGGCGCGGGTTTAGGGTTTAGGGTTTAGGGTTTAGGGTTTAGGGTCTAACAGGCTTGGCCAGGATTGCAACGTGCCCACGAACCCACCTGCGGTGGCCGTCAATCCCACCCGCAAGCCACCCCACCATAAAGATCATCTCTCCTCTCCTTGTAACAACCAACATCGGTGCAAGCGACGACGACGGCGACGACGACGGCGACGACGAGGACGACCGCGCAATAGCACAGTGGCGGGACAGGCACAGGCCAATGACATGAACCCAAGAACATGCAATAGAAACAACTCTTACGCATAATCAAACTGACAAGCGATTGAACATAATCGGACACAGGTGATGGCAGGGGCACATAACTGGTATACCGTGATGCCTGCGATGTTGGGTGTATTCGTCTTCTTGTCTATAGCCGCACAGCAAGGGTCCCCAAAAAGTGGGGATCCGTTATCTCTATATGTGTTTCTTTGTACACATGCCTACGGCATATCCCGCCACCGTGCTATAGAAGTACATCATGGGTCTCCAAAAAGTGGGGACCCGTTATCTCTATGAGCGTTTCTTTGAATCTTACTTGCCTAGGGTTTAGCAACCGTGCCTATAGCAGCACGGCATGGGTCTCCAAAAAGTGGGGATGCTATCTCAATGTGCGTTTCTTTGTATCTCGGGGACCCGTTATCTCTATGTGCGTCTCTTGGTTTCTTACTTCTCTACGGTCTATCCCGCCATCGCGTATAGCAGCACAGCATGGGTCCCAAAAAAGTGGGGACCCGTTATCTCTATATGCGGTGTGTCTTAGGCCCATCCCGCATCGTGCCTAAAGCAGCACAGCATGGGTCTCCAAGAAGTGGGGACCCGTTATCTCTATGTGCGTCTCTTGGTATCTTACCTGCCTACGGCCTTTGGCCATTATGCCTATCCCGCCACTGTGCTATAGCATGGCGTAGCACAACATGGGCCCCAAAAAAATACAGAGGCCCCTATGTGTGCACTGTATGTGCGCGTCGTCTTTACTCTACGTGCCCTAGGCCTATCCCGCCACTGTGCTATAGCATGGCATGGTACAGCGTGGGTCCCCTTTGAGTGGGGACCTCTATGTGCGCGTTGTCTTTTACTTCTACTTGCCCTCGGCCTATCCCGCCACTGTATCACTGCATGGCATAGCACAGCATGGGTTTCAAAAAGTGGGGACTTGTATGTGCGCGTTGGCCTTTAGTTCTACTTGCTCTATCCCTGTCCTGGTCACTGAGCTATGGCATGGCACTGCACCGCATGGGTCCCCAAAATGTTGGGACCCCTATGTGCGCGTTGCCTTGTACTTCTACTTGGCCTGTGCCTGTCCCGCCACTGTGCTATTGCGCGGTCGTCCTGGTCGTCGCCGTCGTCGTCGCCGTCGTCGTCGCTTGCACCGATGTTGTTACAAGGAGAGGAAGGATGATCTTTATGGTGGGGTGGCTTGCGGGTGGGAGTGACGGCCACCGCAGGTGGGTTCCTGGTCAAGGTGTAATCGTGGCACATGAGTGCTCTAACCGGCCAAAGATGCTGCGCGCATGCGCAGGAAGCGCGAGGTGATCCAGGAGATGGAGGCGATGTACATAAGGGGGTCGCATTTTAGATTGCAAAATACAAAAGATTCTGCACGCATGCTCAGGATGGAGCATGCACAGGATCAGGAAATACTGTTTTTTTTGCATTAGATGGACCGGGTTTACGTAAACGCTTGCAACGGGGACCAGGCCCTTTGTATGGAAAAAACATAGGGTATCCTGCACGCGTGCTCACGAAGTAATATTTTTTGCAATAGATGGAGCGTGCTTGCATAGTGTCCGGTTTCAGAGGAGTTCGGATTTAGTAATTATAGGATTAGAGACTTAGGGTTTAGGGTCTACCAGGCTTGGCCACGATTACACCTTGACCGCGAACCCACCTGCGGTGGCCGTCACTCCCACCCGCAAGCCACCCCACCATAAAGATCATCTCCCCCCTCGTTATAACCACATCGAATACAACGTCGACGACGACGACGACGACGGCGACGACTGATGTGCGATCCAGTTGGCACGCGAGTGCTCTAACGGGCGGGAAGAGTCGGGCAGGCGGACCCCGACGGACGGGACGGGTCGGGTCCGGCGGGAGGAGCCTACTTTTGGGGACCCATGATGTGCTATGCCATGCTAGAGTCCGGTGGCGGGATAGGCCTGGGATAGGAAGGAGTAAAAGACAACGCGCACATAGGAGTCCCCACCTTTTGGGGAACCCATGCCGAGCTATGCCATGCCATAGCACGGTGGCGGGAAAGGCATGGGGCAAGTAGAGGTAAAATGCAATAGAAGGGAGACGAAGGCTGGGAACTGGATAGGCACAGTGTGGCAAGTTCAGTCGGGACACTCAGAACAAACTGGATGGCTAAGACACGCTTCAGTACAGAGTCTGGGGCCCCTTTTTTGTTTCCATAGTTCCCAGGCCACGCGAATACATACCCGCACAGAGAAGGTCCCAGCATGCGCAGATCGCGACCCTGACACTTACGATCAGGGATAATCAGGCCCCGCTTGCTAGGGATAAATCTGTCCTGCAATACCCTAACACGTAACATGACTCGTGAAAGTACAACCACGAACACGAAGGCGAGGCATAGAAGCAGCACCTTCTCTGCGACGCACGCAAGCGGAACTGCGCGGCAGGAAAAAGAGACCAAGTGGAATCATTGAAACAGCCCTGACTGCTCATCCGCTGGACGGGTCAGGCCTGCGGGTCGCCAGCGTCCGCCTCTTCAAAGAGAGGATCCACGGCTACTTCCACCGCATAGTTCGTGGCGTGATTCAAGGCATGGTCCAATGCAATGTCCAACGCAAGGTCCAGAGCATAGTCCAATCCATCAGGTGGCTCGATGCCCATGATAGCGGCGGTGTGGGCCCACCTGTTACGCGGAACCAGGCAATGCCCATTCTGGTCCCGCGCAACGCCGCCACGATAGTCGGCGCCCGCGGCAGGATCATCGTACAGCAACCCATCCGCTGGAACCCACGAGTTCAAGAGTGGGTTCCTGAGGCTCATGTACAGCGACTCCCACAGAGGGCTGAACCAGCGAAAGATGTAACCATTTGGGAGAATAGAATTGCCCCCATGAGATCGGCAACGCCTGCAAAGTATACCATCACAAAGCACGCGCTGAAGAGGAATATAGTGATCCTCAACCCATTCGGAGTCGGTGACCGAGCCAATGGCTCCATGCCAGACCTGCGCCATGATCAGGTGCATGCCCATGGCATAGAATATGCGACCCGGGGGGCTCTGCCGCCGGTACCAGGTGATGAACGCGATGAGCATAGCGGACGAGTCAACGTTCGCCATGGGAACCCAGCGCGGCATGGGATTCGCGGGCTGGGACATTCGCAGTCAGTGAGAACGATCCTCGGAACGCTCTATAGAAAGAAAATCTCTGCCCACCTGGGACACCCGAACTCTCGATCCGAAAAGGCTGCATCGGCGAATACCTCTTTTGGGGGACCCATGCTGTGCTATGCCATGCTGTATCACTGTGGCGGTATAGGCCTAGGGCAAGTAACAGTGAATAGACGACGCGCACATAGGGCTCCCCACACTTTTGGGACACATGCTTTGCTATGCCATGCTATAGCACAGTGCCGGAATAGGCCTAGGGCAAGTAACAGTGAAAGACGACGCGCACATAGAGGTCCCAACTTTTTGAAGACCCATGCTATGCTATGCCATGCCACAGCACAGTGGCGGTGTAGACCTGGGGCAAGTAACAGTACCAGACAACGCGCACAAAGGGGTCCCCACTTTTGGGGGACCCATGCTGTGCTATGCCATGCTATAGCACAGTGGCGGGATAAGCCTAGGACAAATACAATAAAATACAACACATAGGACTCCCCACTTTTTGGGGACCCATGCTGAGCTATGCCATGCTACAGCACAGTGGCGGGATACGCCTAGGGCAAGTAACAGTAAAAGACAACGCGCACATAGGGGTCCCCACTTTTGGGAGCCCCATGCTGTGCTACGCCATGCTATAGCACAGTGGCGGGATAGGCATAGGGCAAGTAACAATAAAAGACGACGCGCACATAGGAGAGCCCACTTTTCGGGGACCCATGCTGGGCAATGCCATGCTATAGCACGGTGGCGGGATAGCACTGCAAAAGGAGCAGCCAACAAATTGAAGCGTCACTAGTACAACTGGAAGTACGGTGCCCGGACACGTTCCCGAATACGCGAATAGGCGTGGACCCCAAACAGGCAGCTGTGCAGCGGAGAACACACGCAGCAGGGAGAGGCACAGAGGACTGACGCCAGCGAGAATGCAAACACAGTCAAGAAAACGGTGCTGCTGGCACATAGGCAGACGCGGTGAGACGTCTGGTTCCAATGGTTGATAGCACGACTCCAGGAATCATGAGCATGAGCGTTTCAGTCAAAATGGCTATCAATACGAGACGAGAATGGGGAGAAAAGAGAGTATGAGCACAGTCGTTGCTTGTGCAAGAGATTGGTAGTTAATACGATGAGCTCTGTCAATGCAGACCACCAGAGTACAAGCCCTCGTCTGCGTAGCCCTGCCTACTCGGGAACAGTCCCGAATAAACAAGACACATCTGAGCATAGCAAAGGCCCGTCTACGCCTTGAACGCCATCAGCCCACCGGCACTCCCCGACGACGTAGACGCCGGCACGCCCTCAAAGCGCTTGAGCATCATAGACGCGAAGGCCTCCTTGTCCAGAGACTGCTGCGCGACGTGCGACCGAAGGCACTTCTCGTGCACCTGGGCGTTGTGCGATAGCCCATTCGCACCGAACGTCAGCATGAGGAACTTCAGGTCGGAGGGCTTCTTCTGGATCCACTCGTATAGAGCGGTCGCAGCAGCCGAGACCTGCTGAGGATCCGGCACTGTGGCATTCGTGCGCTGGCGCTTGACTAGTTTCGTCCGGCCATCCTTCGTCTGGCTACCAGGCGTCGGCAGGCCTGCAGCGTTCAACGTGCGCAAGTGCGGCAATAGCTGCTCAGCCTCCTTCTTCACGTTCTTGAGCAGGTCCGGCTTCACGACGCTCTCCAAGTGCTTCGCATGCGCCACGTCCACCACGAAGGCCTCCATGGCCTGGGCGGCGCGCGACGCGCCGACAGATTGGCGCATTGGATCTGCATCAACGCCCTCATAGAAGAACGGCACAGCCTTGTTCCCCTGCGCAAGCACCTTCCAAAAATCCGGCAGCTCGGCCTCGGATATGCGGTTAGAGCCGCACGCGTTCAGAAGCTGCGCCGGAGCCGTAGCCCACGGAAACAGGCGATTGCTCTTCTGAATAGGCTTGTCGTCGCCGTCCGGGGCAGGAGCGCCGAGCATGTTCGCGAAGTCACCCGGAGCGAACACTCTAGAAGCGCCCAAGCTCAGATACAAAGAAGAAGCTGCCAGCCAGAGCGCTAAAGGGCAACGCGAAAAACAATCGGAAACATAACACTGTGTTACGCCATGATGAGTGCCCACTTTTTGGGGATGCATGTTGCTGTCCTGCCATAGCACAGCACATCGGGGTGGTGCGAAGCCATGTTTTGGAGATAGAAGCTGATGAACTGCAATAGCACAGAACACGGAAAAAACGGGTCCCCCTTTTGGAAATGAAAGACGCTGTGCTGCAATAGCGACGACACACCGACGACGCGGGGGCGCGTCGCCACTTCGTGGGGATGATGCAGCCGACCTGCAATAGCACAGCACATAACAAAGCATAGCATAGCGCAGCGTGGCATAGCATAGCACAGCATTGCCCTGCAACCAGCCGCGAAACCTCCGAGCCATCACCAAGGCCCGGCGGGGCAGACCGCGCGCCGCCAAGAGCCCCCACTTTTTGGGGATGTCTGTTGATGTGCTGCAATAGCACAGCACTTCGAGAGAAACCATTTTTTTGTTTTTGGGAGGAGGGGGGGAATGGAAGCTGATGAAGCGCAATAGAACAGAACACAGAAATATCGGGCCCCCACTTTTCTGGAAATGGGAGTTGCTGTGCTGCAATAGCGCAGCACACTGCGATGGCGCGGAGGCGCGTCCGCACTTCCTGGGGATGGATGCGGCCGTGCTGCAATAGCACAACACATAGCAAAACAAGCATGGCATAGCATAGCAAAGCATTACAATGCGACCATCCGTGAGACACCGAGCAACCAGCCGGGGCCGGCGGGGTAGGCCGAACGCCACTAAGAGAACCAGGATGCATCGGACCCACAATCCAGAAGACACAGTGTGTGCAAGCATGGCCGACTCCAGGAACAATCACAGAAGTGCAGCGTGCACGGCGCGAACACCAGGAGAGCAACGAGGTGTCATGAGTCTATGCTACGCTATGCCATGCTATGATGGAGCACGGTGGCGGAATAGGCCGAGGCCGCAGAGAAGAATACACAGCAACGCGCACGCATGGCGCACTGACAACAAATGCTTGCATGAGTACCAATTACATGACCACCACAGGCCACAGCATCAGATAGGAGCAGGCCACGAGGACCACGCGCAACGTAGAAAGAACTTACCTTTCAACACCGATCGAAAGAGACAGAAGGGCTGCGCAGAGCGAAACAGGCAGCCGAACAGGAGGTGTCATAACCCGAAACATACGAGATGGCAGGATAGTCTGCAAGAGTGCCTCACGTCGCCGCAGAAGAGAGACTTCACCGCCGTCCGAAGTGCGTCTCTGTCAGTATCCCCGAAAGACATCACAGTAGTGATGCTGCATGGATTGGTTTGTCAGTCTGTCCGGAATAGACTCAGTCAACCCTGACGCATAAGGCATGTGTACACTATGAGATCCAGCAAGCTGTAACGCGGCTGTGACAGGAGCTCGCGCATGCCATCTCGGAAACGAATAGCCGTGTCGTGATCCCACAGCGCCCATTTCATGATCTTCCTCCGTACGTGGAATGACATAGAACGCAACGCTCGCCAGTCGTCCGACGAATCCGCGTGCTGACGCCCACCGGCCAGGACGATCGAACGCGCGAAGCGCACGGACGTGTACGAAAGCTGGCCATGATAGCGGCCGAACCCGTGCACCTTCATGATGTCCACGAAACACGCAACGGAGAGTACGGTGCGCTCGCCCTGCAGATAGTGCGCGATGCTCTCTGCCAGTGCGTGAAACGCCCGAATGTTCTTGCATAGGTAATAGAACATATCAAGCGGAGGGGCGCGCTCGGAAGGGTTGCCCAGAGGCTGCTGCCCAACGGTTCCAGCGCATAGATTCCCATCACGCTAGCGCATGTTTTTGAATAACCGAGCCACGCGCTTACCCGTGGCTCGCATAGCCGGAGCGTGGTTCAGCATAGAGGGCGACAGCACAACGTCGCAGCACATGGCAACCATAAGCGCTTCCCAATACACCTGATAGAGAAAGCCAAAAGAAAACACGACAAGCGACAGCGATGCCATATGCTCAGTTAGCATAGTCCAAACCGTTCGGAATGCACGCACATCAGCGCGGCTACCCACGCAGTGAATAGCACACCCTGTGCAATCATGCACGCGCAGGTTTGCGCGATAGTGACGCCAGGCTGGGCGGTATACCTCGTAGCGGTGGTTCTCCATGTGCCGATAGCCCTTGCTACAAAACCAACCAAGGTCTGCGTGGAAACATCTCCCTGAACAATGGCGGCACTCGCAGCATAGGCACTGCTTCGTGCCAGGGCGCAGCACGGCACTGGCAGAGACGACGCGGAGCGCGAGCGCAAACATGCGCATCAGAGGATAGGCTGCCAGAAGGACGCTCACAAGACCAAACGATCAAGATCTCGGGCCAGCATAGCTACAACAACATGACACCGTAGGCGTCTTCAGGAGCAACTGTGACAAGCGTCCACCAGACTACAATAGCAAAACAACTGAAGATAACACGTCCTCATTCTTTTGGGGGATGGATGCTGCTGAGATGCCATCGCTAAGCATGACACGGCATGGGTCCCCAAAAAGTGAGGACCTGATGGTGTAGTATGGCATGCCGTAACAAACCATGGCATAGCGTATCATGGCCTATACGTATGTGTGCTCTTAAGTCGGCGCTTCGCCGTAGGCATCTTCAATAGCAAAGGTCACCACTCCGTCCTGCCATCACGAACAGACTACAATAGCAAAGCACATAGAGAGCGCACTCTCTTTCTTTTTGGGAGGGATGGATGCTGATGAGCTGCAATAGAATAGCATAGCACGGCATGCCCCTCCCCCCCCCCCCTCCCCCCACAAAGTGGGGACCTCATGGTGTGGCATAGCATGCCGTAACAGACCATAGCACAGCGTACCGTGCCTATACGTATGCGTGCCGCTGGGTCGGCGCATCGCCGCAGGCATCTTCAATGGCAACTGTGACCACTCCGTCCTGCCATGACGAATAGACTACAATAGCAAAGAAACAATGGCGATGACGCGTATCCCAATATTCTTTTGGGAATGGATGCAGCTGAGCTGCAATAGCATAGCAGAGCGCGAAATGGGCCCCCAAAAAGTGGGGACCTCATGGTGTTGAGCTGCAATGGCAAAGCATGGCACGGCATGGGCCCCCCAAAAGCGGGGACCTCATGGTGTAGCGTAGCATACCGCAACATGCCATAGCATAGCGTATCATGGCCTATACGTATGTGTGCTCTTGGGTCGGCGCTTCGCCGTAGGCATCTTCAATAGCAAAGGTGGCCACTCCGTCCTGCCATCACGAACAGACTACAGAAGCAAAGCACATATAGATGACGCGCCCCCACCCTTTTTTTGGGGGGGGATGGATGAACTGCCGGAGCATAGCAGAGCAAAGGCCCGACCCTCCCAATAATGGGACCATGATGTAGCATAGCATACCGTAACAAAGCATAGCAAAGCGTATCATTGCCTATACGCATGTGTGCTCGTGGTTCGCCTCTCCGTAGGCGGCTTCAATAGCAATTGTGACCGCTCCGTCCTGCCATCACGAATAGACACAACACAGAACACACAGCATGCAGCATAGAGCATGACGTCGCACTCGTCGGCGCTCGTCGTCCCTCGTCACCACTCGTCGTGCCTCGTCGTCGCTTGTCGTCGCTCGTGGTCCCTCGTCGACGCCCGTCGTCGCTGGTCGTCGTTGTCCTCGTCGTCGTCGCTTTCGCCATCGTCACTCGTGCGCGCGCATAGGCGTGGATCCCAAACAAATCGCAGCGCGGCGAAGAGAATGAGAATAGGCCGCACGGACACACACGAAAGTGCAAACACTGTTACGGAACAAACTTCAGCTAAGTAGGAGCCAGACGATGTGGGAACAAGAGTGCCTGCGGGATAGCAGGATTCCGACGGCAGAAGAAGCTCCAAACTACAATAACAAGCAGCATAGACACCAGTGCGCATCGTAGGGAAGTGTGAACTTGCCAGGAAAGATACCCCGACATGCCAAATCACAAAGACAACGATAGAAGTGCACGCGCTGCAGCACAGCATCGCACATTTTTTCGCACACGACGCCGCGATAATAGGGAGCGAGACTGTCCTTACCAAAGAACGACCCTGGCACTTACGGCCAAGGGTAGTCAAGCCACAAGATTACAAAAAGTCAACATGGCCGATCAGATAGCGGATGACCGCCGTGAGGCGAACGTACTTCATTCAATGGAATAGGGAGCCTGCTCCAGAGGTCCCACACCGCAGTACTCCCGGTAGTAGCACCAAAAGAGGATAGATTCCGGATGGCCCAGCTGCCGGCGGGATACAATCCATGATATAGTGAGGTCGACAGACATGCAACGCCGAGGCACCTCCTGGCTCAATACATTGATCAGCTGGGGCCATTGAAGAGGGCCATGGCGCTCCACGTACTCGATCCACGCCTGCAACACATGGCCTCCAGCCGCATGAGGCCGCTCGTGATCAAATAGAAGAGGCATCATCGCCCAAGCGGCCATGGCCGCGTAACGGCTCAGCATGGACAGCAGGATGAAGTTCAAAAGGTTCAGTGGTGAAATGCATGGCCAATAGAGGCGCGTGGTCAAAGTTCCCGAAGCAGCAACATCCGGAAATAGCCACGCATAAATGCGCTGCCTCTCGGCGTCCCCCTCATCCAGGCCACGGGTAAAATTGTGCGGCGTGGTGCGCTGATGAATAGCGCGGACCACGGTGTCCTTCGTGATGCCAGTAGGCCACTCGTACTCGAACTGCCTGACAAACGGAGATAGGTCTTCGTCGAACATGCGCACCATTGCATCACGGTCATAGGGGACAGACCAGAAAAGCATGGTACGACTAATCGATGGACCGAGAATCTCGGCAAAGCTGCAAGACCTCCCGGGCCGAAAAACCTGCATAGACAACACATGCAACTGATAGAATAGTACATAACATCCCGCGGTTGGGCACACGTGCTGTGCTATGCCATGCTATAGCACAGTGGCGGGATAGGCATAGGACAAGTAAGAGTAAAAGCGGCGCGCGCATGAGGGTCCCCACTTTTTGGGGGCCCATGCTGTGCTATGCCATGCTATAACACGGTGGCGGGATAGGCCTCGGGCGAGTAACAATAAAAAACGACGCGCACGTAGGGGGCCCCACTTTTTGGGGACCCATGCTGTGCTATGCCATGCTGTAGCAGAGTGGCGGGATAGGCCCAGGGCAAGTAACAGTACAAGACAACGCGCACATGGGGCCCCCCACTTTTGGGGGACCATGCGGTGCTATGCCATGCTAGAGCACAGTGGCGGGATAGGCCCAGGGCAAGTAACAGTACAAGACAACGCGCACATGGGAGTCCCCACTTTTTGGGGCCCCATGCTGTGCTATGCCATGCTATAGCACAGTGGCGGGGTAGGCATAAAGCAAGTAACAGTAAAAGACAACGCGCACACAGGGGTGCCCACTTTTTGGTGGACCCATGCTGTGCTATGCCAGGCCTAGGGCAAGTAACAGTAAATCCACAACACATACGGGTCCCCATTTTTTGGAGACCCATGCGGTGATATGCCATGCTATAGCACAGTGGCGGGATAGGCCTAGGGCAAGTAACAATAAAATACGGACGGGACGGGTCGGGCCGGGCGAAAGAGATTCTGCACGCATGCTCATCAATTGCTATTTTTTGCAGTAGATGGAGCCGGGTCGCAACGGGGGCCGGGCACTTTGTAGTGTAAAATACAAGAGATTCTGCACGCATGCGGAGCAAGTGTTTTTTTTGCATGAGATTGAGCCGATTT